ATTAATTGCAACCACTTACCTTAAAAAAAATTTGTAAATTCAATGAATCATTTTTTTTTTTCAGTGAGGGACAAGAAGACATGATTTCTTGAGTGGTTCTCATTCATTAGTTCTATAGTTTTTTTTTTTTTTTTTAGCTTTAGTTTTTAAGATTTTTGTTTTGTTTAGATTTTCCTGACTGACTGAGCTGGCCAGACCATGAGTTATTATGTAGAAAAAGGACATAATATACTTTTTTTTGACAACAATATATATTTCTCTTATGTATATATATATATATATATATATATATTATTCTAGTCTTAAACTGATATACACTTTAGCATTTCATCTGCGTATATAAAATATTGTAAACCAGAGTTGGATAAGTTCTGTTTGTATTTTTTAATATATATTTTATTTATTTACAAGTGTATTTCTTCATTCTTTAGATCAGCACTCTGGTTTTCTCACCAGCTTCCTGACATTAGGGTTGATGAAATTGCTGTGGTTTGGTCAGTGTGAAAATCCTGGTTGAGAGTAGCACTCGAAGACTCTCCCTCCACTCTCAATGAGGGCCCCTGGGGCATGATGCCGCGTTAGATATAGATGAAAAGTGCTCCGGCGCGCTCTCTCATTCCCTGTGTTTACACATGTAAGCAGAATCTTTGGATTAAGTCTCTACATCATTAGTTCTGCTATTATTTATTTATCATTTGATTTACTTATTCGTCATGCAGCTTCTGCACCTTGCTCTGCTGAATTCATTGCGAGTTGTGCAACCTGCAGTGTTGCTCGGCGGTTAGATTTCTATTTGCTTGGATATATAGCCAGCAGTCGAGAGGTCTAAGTTGAAGGCTCCCCGGCTGTCAGAAGACGTCTGGAGAGTTAGATACTGTATAGAGGAGATCTGCGCTGTGATGACAAGGGAAAGAAGCATCCAGGTGAAGACTCTTAGAGGAAGCACTGCTAAGCCAGCACACTCTCTCCAAAGCCCCACAACGATGAGACGAGAGCATGACAGGCAGAACAGAGTGGATTTTCCCCCACTTGTTTACCACGATAGTGTGTGAACGCGTGATAGCATAGCTGTGTGTGTGTGTGTGAGTGTGTGCATGACATGAACAGGCCTGAAATTGTGAACTAATGCATTTGTAAACGTTCGAGAAACTACTGTAAAGCATCACAGAACTAATATTTGTGGAAGGAAGTGCTGTTGGTGGGATTGAGTTGGGATTTATCCAGTGGCAAAAAGGAACTCTAGGTTCGTACTCGTGGATCATGGGAGTGCACAAACTAATTTCACACAGCTCTAAATTTAGATTAATTGTTAATAGTCACAGTAGCCCCCATTTGACATAGACTGTGATCAGACAAGTTTGACTTAGATTTTGAGAAAGAAAATTGTGAAAATTGAAACCAGATCAATCAAAAACACTTTTACAAGCAGACTGTCTGTGAACTGATAACGCCAAAGTTTGGAAAACTGCTTTTGCACCAAATCAGCCAAACTCTGACATCAAAACAGGCTTAAGCCCTATTCGCACGGGATAAGTATTATCTGGTGACCTCCAGTCATTTGTAATAATTGCGGAGGTTGTCTGTGATCTTAATCCCGTGCGAATAGGGCTTTAGTCTTCACCAAAAGCACACTTTATCTGGTAATTTCACCCAAAAATGGAAAGATTGGGTTATTTACTAACCCTCATGTTGTTATAAACCTGTATGACTTTCTTTCTTCTGTGGAACATGAAATGAGAAACTTTGAAAATTTTATTTTTTTGTCCGTATAATGAAAGTCATCTGGTCATTTTGTTTTGGACCCCATTGACTTTCATTGTATGACAAAAAGACATTTTCCAAAATGTCTCCTCTTCCACAGAAGAATGAATGTCTGTCGTTTGAAGTGACATGAGGGTGAGTAAAAGATTTCTGAATTTTAAATTTTTGGTTCAATTGTCTATTAGTATGTTTTTGCTTCTTTATTATTTCTTGCATTTACAGTTGTCTTTTGTACGTTATTAAATGCAATTTGAAAGAAAAAAGAGACAGTATATCTAAAGTATTATATGAATAGACTCAGTATATGAATAACAGTGTATGAATAAACTCAGACCTTTTGCAGAAAGACACAAACAACACCTCCGGTCCGACAAATTATATGCTACCATGACAGCTGTTCAACTCAGTGTCCGCCGATGCTTTGAAACACATTGTTAGCGGTTGGAGTTTAATTAATTAACATCCAGTCGCTCTTATGCAGACAAATTTAACTTCACTTCTCTTATCGTGCTTGACAGAAACTTTGAATCATAATTGCAATAATTGCAGGTCATTATAATCCTGATAAATGAGGAAGTTTAACACACCTATTGTCAATACGCTAGAATTCGCATTCAGTTACAGCTCTTTAATCTGAAAAGCGGCCGTTTCAAACTCATTCTCTTCGCAAATTATCTCTTTTTATCACTCTTCAGAAAGTCCTGCTCTTTCATAATTCCCACATTATACATTTTGATTAACTGTCCAGCATTCGTTCTGAATGGCAGGAGCTATCGAACACTTCACAACGAAAATAATTGACTTTCAAGAGGAACAAGAGGAACATAACTGCTCCATTTATGTCCTTGTTCCTCGGTCTCCTGCCATACGTGGCTCGGCACGCGACCGTCGGGCGCCTATCTGCTTGGCTCTGTGTCCGTTTCCTGTGCTGCGATGGCATGCTCTTGCCATCGGGTTAATCGTGTTAAGGCATAGCAGGTTGTGTCGCTGGTGTCGGTTGCCAGGTTTGGCAGCGTAAACGGAGGCAACTCCTCTGTACATGAAGACCATGGGACTGAGTCTGCTGGGGGGCTGCGCTACATTACGCGAGTGTCTCTCTGCTAACTGAAATGTGGATCAAAGGAAAGTTTAGACCTGTATCCTCGGGACAAGGATTAATAGAAACAGCAAGCATGGGAAGGAGTGTAAGATAACAGGATTTCACGAGACCTGTGATGGGGAGACAGTGTGTTGGAGAGAGGGGAATAATTTGAGTGTGCAAGAGAGAATTGGAAGGCGGAAAAGGGGAAGAGAGATGAGACCTGCCATGATATGCACATGAGAATTTCTCTGTGTATCTGCCAAAATTCTCTTTGCGTGCACTGGAGCTGCAATACATTTTTCATAGACTGGCTTTTATAGCCGCTGTGCCTTAGTCCAATTTGGTCTCATTTTGTTAAATGCCATATATTGGGTTATACTGTACATATCAAATGTGATTCAGATTCTTGTCTTTTTAGATTGTGATTTAGAACTGTTGTCCTAATTAAAGGTTTGCATTTATTTGGATTTATTTTATTCTATGGTAAAACACTTTCTTCTATTCTGGTTTTCTAGACACTGTAATACATTTTAATTAGGCCATGCGTAGACTGATTCTCTTTGAAAAAATAAATAAAAATGTAAAAGTATAAAATAAAATGGAAATAATAGATAAATACATAGAAAGTATATAGTGTACACTGTACTGTACAAAGTATATACTGTACACACACACACACTCAACCAATGGCATGAGTTTGAGGTGGGACTGCCTTTTTGTCTGGCCAATGGAAGTCAGGAAACAAGTGTCAGTGGCTCAGAAATCACACACTTTGAATATGGCCAAATGTTCTAAAAAGCATTCAGTGATCTTACTAAACCATTACACATCAT